ACTGCTTCATAAAGTACTGCTCATCTCTGGGTACTGCTTCATAAAGTCCTGCTGCAGGTGCGTTCAGTTCGTGTCGTGTTGAGGACGCGGCAGGACGGAAGCAGTCTGTAAAGGTGCCTGTGATGTGAAGAGACAATCTGAGCGTCTTGTTGAAGCAACAAAGCAGCAGCGTTTCCAGTGCACTGTTCAAAATACGCAACTGCAATCTTTTTAAAAATTGTTTTTTAATTCTACATGTTTCTCAGTTGCAACTGTCTACTACACGTATGCACTTTGAGTCAAATTCAATTCAGTTTTTACAAAAATAGCGCTTTTCAGAATAAAATCAATAAGGGAGCACATAAAATATGTGACAATAAAAAAATCCTTAATCTCTTAAAGTTGCTCTGTGTTTTGGTTAGATTTGAAAAATCTTTCCACCATTCTGATCCAAAACAGCGACTTCATGTCAACCAGAGCGTTGTTTTCTGAGAAATTCTCTACTGAGTTTGTTTTTAAGATTTCTTGAAGGCGACATGTGAAATTAGAGGAAAAGGTTTTGAATGTCCGCCCTGTTTGCTTCACAGGAAGGACTTTAAGCAGCAGTTTGAGCTACACCACGTCCATCCACCACAGCTACGTTTCTTCTGTGAATTTAGTGAACAGCACATCATTTTATTCATTAAATCATCTACAAGTGCTGAGTCACGGTGTTTGTGCATCGGTGAGTTGCAGAGCAGCACATCAGTGTGTTTATACGAGTTGATCCAGATGTTTTTGGCAAAACACCAACGATGGGAAACTGTTGTGGTGAAGGTGCTGAAAAAGGATCTTCCAGGTCAAAACCAGGCGTTAATGACACGTTGGTACCGCTGGCTGGCGTGAAACTACCAAAAGTGTTAGCTACGTTAGCTTCCTGCTGGTAACATGTTCAGCCATTCTGGTGTCGGCACAGAGCCGCTTCACTTGAACTGGGAATTAAAGACCATCCAGAGGGTCGAATGACATTAACTCAAATCTCAGTATTCTTCACTTTATTCAATGATAAAAAAACAACGTGTGCATTTAAATTTTCTGTCCAAAAGTGATAAAGAATAAAACTCAATGACCAGACGTGACTTCAGCTCTTCTGCAACTCACCGCCAGCGAGGCCTGCAGCTGATGAAGCTCTTCTGCTGTCCTGCCTGTTCTCTCTTTCTTTTTGTTTTGCTTGAAGCAAACGTGTGCTTGTATATTTTGAATGAAGGATCCTTGTGCGTGTGGCTGGGGGCGGAGTCAGCACGTGCACGGCCCACAGAGGTTCAGACAGCCAGGTCGCTCGGCCTGGCCCTCACGCTGCTGCTCCTGCTGGACCGACTGAGCCTCCGAGGGTCTGTGCTGACCACTGATGGGGGTTTGTGCATCTCTACTGTCGTGGTGCTGACGAGACCTTCCTCGTGCGTAGTTGTAACCCTCCCACAGCCGTGTGCGGGGGTGGCAGCAGCGGTAGGAAGGGTCAGGACAGTGTCAGAAGACAGCTGCTGCTCGTTCTCGTTGTTGGCAGAAGACGACGAGGATGGTGAGGGTGAGGTGGCCTTCATCTCCCGAGTCTGCTGCTCGGTGGCCAGGTTGGCCCAGTTCTGCTGCGTGGCCAGCTTGTGATTGTTGTTGTTGCTGATGTAGTAGTGAGCTGAGGAGGAGGACCGATGAAGGGGATCCTGCTGCTGGAGGTCGCCCACCTTAAAGTCCGCCGGCCTCACCACGGGCAGGAAGGCCCCACTGCCTGCTGCCACATCCAAGTAGTTGGGGGGGTAGCTGGGTGGGGCAGTTCTGGGGGCCGAGGCCAAACACCTGGGCTCTGCAGCGTCGACGAGCCGCAGGGACTCTTGATCGGGGACAAACTCGTTGGTCACGCCCTGTTTGACCTTCTTCCACCCAAGGTGATAGATCTCTAACAAATTCAGCAAAAGAGACACGCAAGCCACCACAAGCATGAAGAGAATGAAAATGGTCTTTTCAGTGGGCCGGGATATGAAGCAGTCAACTGTGTTGGGGCACGGCCAACGTGCACATTTGTACAGGGGCCTCAGCTGGAAGCCATAAAGGAAATACTGGCCCAAAATGAAACCCACTTCAAACAGAGTCTTGAAAATGATATTGAACACGTACGTGCGCAGCAGGGCACCTCTGATACGGATTTTGCCGTGTTCATCCCTGATTGGCGGCTTCTCTTTCTTGCCACCTCCTCCGGTGTCCCCACTGTTTTTATAGAGGAGCTCTTTCTCCTCCTGGAACCTGTTAGCCTTGCGCATCTCCTCCTCTTTCTCTTTGCGCTTCTCCTCCATGCGGACGATGTGCAGGACGTGGCCCAGGTAGATGAGCGTGGGAGTGGACACGAAGATGATCTGCAGCACCCAGAAGCGGATGTGTGAGATGGGGAAGGCCTCATCGTAGCAGACGTTCTCACAACCCGGCTGCTGGGTGTTGCACGTGAAGTCGGACTGCTCGTCACCCCAGACCTCCTCGGCCGCGGCCCCCAGCACCAGGATCCTGAAGATGAAGAGGACCGTCAACCAGACTTTACCGATGACCGTCGAGTGCTCCTGAGCATTCTCCAGCAGCCGGCCCAGAAAACTCCAGTCGCCCATGCTGCTAAATGTTCAGCCTATGGAGAAAGTAGAGGCTGGAGCAGGAAGGAGCAGGAAGGAGTAGGAAGGAGCAGGAAGGAGTAGGAAGGAGCAGGATGGAGCAGGATGGAGCAGGAAGGAGCAGGAAGGAGCAGGATGGAGCAGGA